ATTGCACGCACACTTCGGCATGAACTGACTGCACCTTCAAGAAGGGAACCTACCCGATGAATAGTGTCAAAGGCATACACACAGCAGCAGGGAGATCGACAATTGGGTAGCAGGGTCCTTATTTGTACTGGATGTGATCCACCTTGAAGAGTGGTGAATCGCGCAAGAACCACAAAATTTAGTGCCTACAGCTCCAACAAAAGGACACGATATGCTGATTTGTCACAGTAACCAGTATCATGTGAATTAAATAGTCTTCATGAAGGCAACTGTCCATTTGAAGCAAATTCAGGAAAAAAGAAATTAATTTATTAACGAGAAGCCTCACCACTACCCAGGCTCCTTTTAGGCTGAACTTTGACAAGAGTTGAATAACAGTTCTGTTTTGCTGCAGTAAACTTCAAAATAAAACTGACCCTATTCTAGAGATAATGCCTATAAAACTTGAGAATAGAAAAGGGACATCTACTTGAAGTTTGGAAACCAAGTTACTTATGTCACGCACTGCCTTCTTCATTAGAGCTGGTGTCCAGTGGAAGAGATATCATTTCGACTTTGTGAAATAGGCGCATGAAATCAAAGTGTGACAGTTGGAGCCCCTCAACTAAGCTTCTCTCTTCATTCGTTTGAGCGCTTGAACTGATTGGTTAAGGAAATTAATTCACTAGCACTAAAGGCAGGGAAGTTGAGAGGAGATTCGACTTCTATGACCACTACAGTAATGGTGACCGAAATTTTTTAAGTAAATGCAAGCCATGATCAAGTAAAGTCGGATTATATTGTTTTGCACCATCTTCCATAATTCCCTTAAATAGTAAAAAATTGGGCATCATTAAGGTCCATCACATTGCCTTTACCGCAGCCCATAAGATCTCATGAATCACAGGGGATACATCCTAACTGGTTTAAGCTCACGATAAAGACAGAACAATGAACTAAGCTGCGAAACAATCCTCATGGATGACTGGCTGAGCCATATTTGCTTACTCTGACTTAAAAATTACACACAGACAAACAGAAAACGTGCAGTCAGATGGCCGAGAAGCTCAATTCAACGTCTGCAAATTGTTTGGTGAATGCACAAGCCCGAACCACAGCCAGCACACTTAAATGACATTTTGTAATAAGAGGCTTCGGGATGGGAGAGTGGCAAGTGACGCACACTCAGGGACACTTGACCCACCCTACAAGTTACAACAGATACGGACTTCTTTAATGAACCAATAAGTTAGATAACTACGCTCATTTCTGCATGCTCGTGACTGCGAGAAACCGCAGTTCTCGTTCATGGTAGCGACCCGAATAAACTAC